ATTGTCTTTTTTTACCTCTACCAGGGGACGACTATAAGGAGTAAGAACACTATCTTTAATGTAAGTATAGGTTGATATGGACACATCATTTTAAAGGGTTAGTCAGGTGCAGTTCATTGCCAGAAACCACGTCTCAAAAGGTTCATCCGTTACAAAATGGTGGCTGTCCAAATTTCTTGGGGAATATACCTTCACAGGCCTTAGTATTAGTAAATACTCGTATTCAAAATTAGCTTGAGAGCTGAAATTGTATTTTTAAGTCAACTAGCTTATATACTAATATTATTCAATCTTCAAAACAAATTTAACCGGGTTTCATATTTCCCGGCTATTCTTACCAACCTACGCTTACATTAAAGATTATGTACCTACTCCGCATGGACCATCCCCTGGTGAAGTCAAGAAAATGGCAATGCTTGCAAAAAGTAGTTTTCATACATACGTTAATGCGAAAGGTTTGAAATTTCTAACCAATTTAGTTAAAAAGAAATCAAGCCGTTTCCAGACTTTTTGTCACCCTATCACTTCAAACATGTTTTACATCACATGTCTTACATGTCTTGTTTAACATTGTTAATAACAAAGAAGGAATAAACTGGCGAATAATGACAGCCAATATTTTCCTTAAATATACATGTTATATTACACTTACCATAGTCAATTCTCAAACTGTTTTTGATAACTTAAGTTTCAATTCATATTATGCCTCACAGTCAATTCCATCGTCATATGCTCGTATGTTAAATACCTGTTGAACTGTAGTAAATATAAACACTGTAAGTATATATGGCAGTAATTGTAATAGAATGTAATTATTCATTAGTAGATTACGAATAAGAGGTAGTTAATATGAAAACAAGTTTCCTAAATGAATCACATTTAATGTTTGTTTACTGCTTTGAGCATAAACTGATTGGAGGAATATCAAAGCACAGCATACCACTTATCACAAGTACTGTTACAACTATTGTCAAGCTTATAAATTCAACAAATTTGAAACTAATAATTTATTTGTAGGCCTGCATATTTTATTTGATTCAAAACGTGCTGGTACCTGGTGAGAACGCACAGACATGCGACAATGTGAGCTCAAGATGGATTTACACTAATATCTTACCAGCCTACTATCTAAAGTGTGCTCCTGCATAACGTATGGAAGTAAAACGTGTTTTTTTTTTTTTTACTTTTGCAGGTAAAAACGTATACAATACTAAGAATATGTGTTCAAGTACAACATAAAATATAACTCAACGTTACACTTCCGCTGATATGCACCAATGGACTTGTAACATGAACTACATATGCTTACCAGAAACGGCTCTTAATAAAGAAACTACTGGTCTTAACTATGTAACAAAGCAAAGGCGTCTCCCACCATTCTAAGATCATTCCACACATTCATTTAGATTTACAATATGCCCTGTTGTTATCTCTATGATAATCGGTAATAGTTCATGTAATGGTATGAATCTGTTATTGGACTGATACTTCATACTCTGACTATTTGCTTCCTCGAAAAAAATTGAAAGTATAAGGAATAGTAGTTTTCATGGATTTGTTTAGTTTAATTGTATTCTTATTACGACATAATGTAAAAAAAATGTTTTTCAAAAGCCTTGAGTACACATAAATACGTTCACATACATATGCACTGTTGTGTGTGACTCTGCCTGTATTGAAGCTCTGTCCCGATCCAACTAGTGTTGGTATTCATCACGTATCCAGCGATCTTGGGCTTAGGTTGATTTATATTCATGGATGAATCTCGCCAAATCACCAATCGTGGCTAAGTCGTGTGGGGTTAAAAGATACTTGTAGAATCCCGTGTTTGAAATAATAATCATGGTAGTTTGATATTTACCACTTTTTTGTATCTTATCAAAGTTTAGATTATGGAAGATGAGGTTACAGTAAACAAATCCTACTAGCTATAATTTTAACACGATTAATGCCTAAGTAACAAGGCACTACGTTTCCCAACTTGTGTTTAAGAAACAGTGTATGTACAATAATTATTATTCTCATCATAAATATAATCCCACGCTATAAACATTCCAGGAGATTATGTGGGGTTATTTCTTTGCTATGAGAAATAGCTCACGCGGACTAAATCGTCTTAGAGGGATTATAATAAAGTTAAAGAATTTATTTTAAAATTGGTTTTGGAAAGCACTGTGCCTACATTATATAAATTCACATTCGATATATTTAAATATAAAAGAGTAAACTTATTGGATAAATCAGTAATACGTTAATTGGAAATAAATTGGTTATTATATTGCTAATTTGCTGAGGTGAGTTCGACAAGATTGTCTATTTCTTAAACATTTTATATTTGTTTATCTTTATTGGCTTTTCTAAAGGAAAAAAAACAGATATACGTTCTATTAGTTTCCGTTTTCTATGATCTGTCTAATATATTGAATTGTAATAGTAAGAGCATGCAGATTCGTATAAATGCATATATCCCACCAATGTTGGCATTCTTCTTAACTTTGTTAGAACATCTTTGGCTTAAGAGTATTGCTACATGACATATATTTAAGGCTCTAAAAATGGCGAATTTGCCTGACACAAAATATATTAATATCTTAGGATCATTTGACCTTAATAAGAACATTAAAAGAAAATATAGATGAATAAAAATAAATATAAATAAATATTCTAAGGTGCAACTTACCCAAATAATTTAATAAAAAGATAATTACGACAATAGTTTAATTAGTTGGCCATTTTATACCATTCAATTACACGTTGAAAATGGTTTGGTAAACTGTATTTATATAATTTACAATAATAAATTTCGTTCACATCTTATCCTCTGCAACTATGAAACAAACACAATAACCATTACAAATGTCTTTGATAGAAATGGGGAAACTATGCATATTTCAACAGCAATTATAATGCTAATTCTATAATAATTGTAGAATAGGTATGGCAGCCTGCGAAGGTTCGTTACGGACAAAAATATTATGTTTATTTTGTCAATGGTCTAAAAATGATATTAAAAACAGCGAAATGGTGTTGGAATTAAGAAGACAAATAATTTATATTATTTTTTAAATATTTTATTGGTATCAGACCAACCGCCAGTCACTCTACACTGTTTTAAGCTTATAATTAATCACTAACTGAAATATAATTTTACTACGGTAAATGTTAACAACATTTGAACTCATGTACGTAAAGCATTTTACCCGTAGAATATATTAAATATCCTATAACTCAGGAGCCTTAGTAGCTTGATATAAAACTAAACAAGTTATGGTATCAGTTTCAAAGGAAGACACGCCACACGCTAACTTGTAAACTTGTTCATTCCAAGTAGATATAATATTCATGGAGAAAACTTTGAGTTGGTTAACATGTTGTGTTGGCTTTAATGTTATTTTTGTTTTCCTTAGTACATTCTTCACCAGTGCGTGAAATATGAAATATGTTTTCTCGTGGTATTTCCATTACAATATACTTGTTGTATTATGAATTAGAGTAAATATTGTTTTAAAATTTATTTTTGTGGTGAGTAGAAGTCATCAAATATATTTCCTACATGTTATATGGCCGTTCGAATTTTACTTTTAGTAACTTCGTAAACTTTAGTAAGCCTATTATAAAATTGGAATTATCTATTCAATCTAACATCAATCAATCTACAAAAATCAATAAATAAAAATAGTTATTTTTACATTTATTGAGGTTTGTGGGATAGTTGGTATATAAACTGTTTATTTTATTGCGGTACGAGTCCACAACCATTGTTGAATAGCTTTGTATATTGTTTAGGTTCCAAATTATTTCCATTTATGTGTTTGTATTACGTTTTTAATTAAGAAGCAATACTGAATTAAATAACACTTAAATACTGAATTAATAATATTTTTTCAGCATCATAGCCAATAATAGTATACAAAAAATAGGTCAATTCAACCAAATCTATTTGTTTTACAAGCATTTAATAGGCTATATATCGGCAGGTAATAAAGTAACTATTTATTGCAAATTAAGAGAAAGACTTATCGCTGTGTTAATATAGTGTAGATGTTATTTAGTTTATTTCGACTTGTAGAATATTGAGCTACATAAAACAAAATCGTTACTAGTCAAAAGTCTATTATTGGGCCAAACTAACAAAACATTGCATTAGCTACATGGCCATCTGTTTAAATCAAACTTCTTTGTCCAAAAAAAAAAAAAAAAAAAACAATTACGACAAAAACTGTAAACCATGCCTATGCATTTACTCTACTAGTTATGGATGTTTTCTAGAGTAGGCGGTGAGAATTATCAGGTGTTGGAGTACGACAATGTGGAGACAGACTGGGATTTGCACACGTATAACTTACAAGCCTATTTCCATTGTATCTTGTTTGCTTATACTACATTTTTATTTATATTTAAGTTTGAAAAATTAGTTTGTAAAGAGAAAAAGAGTATATAAACGTTTAAACAGATTTGTTTTCAAAACTTTTAAAAACATACTTTTTTGTGATTAGGTCAGATTTATACGTACAGCCTAAGTTTTATTCTCGACCTCATAACTTAGTATAATAATTGTATGATGGTGATGTTTGAAAAAGAATCAAATACTTCCTAGAAAGGCTACTTTGGTAACTATAAGAGTACGTTAGGTTTTGATCAAAAACTGACAACCTTGAATTGAATATAGACTAATATGACGTTTGATATCAGAAAAAGAAAATTATTTTTCTCATGCACAATCAACGTAGATCTAAATAACTATTTATGCTCACGAAAAGAAAAATAACTCTTTTTAGAAAACACATAAACAACAGTAAAAAAATGTATGACTAAAATGTAAAATGAAATAACTACAAGTTAATGTGAATAAAATAAATTAACCAAACCCTTATCGAGGTTTATGAGTCTTAAAACCTCATTAGCAAATAATTAGATAAGAAATTCTAGAAATATAGTAGTGTAAGAAAAAGTCATGTGATGACTACTTAAGTTGAGGGATGGTAATAAGGAAAACTCTATTCAAACACACTGTATAGTTGATTTAATAAATTAAAACAACCTTGATAATGTCAATATCATGTAAATAACAAATAATTCAACATTTTAACCTAATGTAATAAATGTTAGTTCTTCCGTAGTTATTTTGTGAAATGTAATTCAAACCTGCTTCAAAGATACTATACTTTTGCTGCTTCTCTAGATGAAATCATATGCGTAAAAATATATATTAGCTAAACTTTTCCATATTATAACATTTTAAAAGAAGGTAGACTCATTTCTATGTTAATTTAACAAGTTATTCAAAGATGCTTTATTTAAGATGATCATATTATACTTCACGCTATTATATGCTATGATAGGCCAATAACTTAAAGTAATATATAAGGTTTGCCAAACATGTTTTTAAGACCCGACCATATTTCTTCGGCTTTTTCTCTAGCATTATCCAATGCTAAGCCTAATTCACGTTCTATATTTAACTTGTATAAAGCTCTAAGTTCTTCTTCATTAGCTGCCACAAAATGTATGTTTTTTGGATCCACTTCGGTAAAAGCCTTGTCTTTGGTTGAAACTAGTGATACAAAGTCAGGAGAAGGTGCGGCTGCTACCACGACAGCTAGCGCCAAAACCTGCAACAATATTTTGTTTAAGTAGCTGTGAATTGTTTTGTGTAAACATTGTACTGTTGAACCTGTTAGGTTTCCACCCTGTTTTTAAATTGTAAATGCGAATTTTCTTATCTAGGGATTTACAGTACTATCTTATTTCATCACAAACTATTCATAATTTTACCTTAAGATTAATCTTAGATTAACAAGCATGTCAGTTTGCTTAAATATTCCACGTACACAAACATTACAAACATCCATAGACATTTTGTTAGAGTTTAAACATTTTCCTAAACTTTGAGAGAGCCCTTTGTTTTCTTGTGGTCATTAAGACAAAGAACGCATCATTTTTGTATCCCGTGTATTGATATTTATTTTTCATAAACATTTTATAAACAAATTTACATTTTTGAAAAATTGAGCCGGGAATAGACAGAAACTCTTAGCTATCATTGTTACATACAAACACTATACTTTTAATTCTTTGGATTCTTATACACTTTTAGTACAATCTATTTCTATAATATCGTCGTAATTGCAATTGTGATAAACGGCTCAAGTAAGAAACCTTGTGCAGACCTTGTGTTCTAAACCTTGTTTAACCTTGTGCAATAATGATACAAAAGTCTCATTCAAAAAAATCTGATCAGGAATAAATTTAGCAAACACTCTTAAATTAAATATATATAATATGTATTATTTTAAGATAAAATACAGCATCCAAGGAAATAAAATATATTATCAATAAGTTACTAGCCAAATAAATAATTCTGATAATAACAATACAAAAATGATAAAAATAATTTTAAAGATTCAGTTTTTGTATAATATAGTTTATTCGCTTTCTAATGCTATTACTTTAGAATATTCTCAAAGTTGTACCTGATTAATGAAATTATATCCAACTGCAATGAGAAACAAGAATAATATTTTACTGTTTTATTTATCAAAGAAAGTGTTTAAGGAAATAAACTGGGCACAATTATACATTCATACAGCCAAAACTTTGAAAAGATTATGAGCTTACAAGTAAAAAGTGTCAAATAGCAGCGTAAGATAAATTAGTAGGATGAATATTTTATTTAACTATTCATATACGTGTTTTGAACCTGTTAAGTTTATCAGATATTCAATATCATAAATATATTTAAATAAAACTTACAATGATAGTTTAAGTGAAAGTAAGGGAGTTTTAACATTCACGTAACAATACACAAATTCGGAATAAAAATGTATTCACTCACCAAAACCCAGTACATGGTTGCTGCCATTTTACTGATACGTTTAACTTATGAAATCTCCTTTAAGTAGTTGCTGTAATAGCTGTTACATTTGTTATCGCAAACTTTTAAATACATATTCTTGGTAGCCGTAGTTTGACGACTAACAAACAGCGACTATCAGAAAAGTCCAAATTACATCTTTAAACTTTACAACCATTAAAGTGTAGTAATTACCTATATTTCTACATTGACGACTACTGTGCAATGTTGTTTTGCCTTATTACTTTACTTGACTACACGTTCCCCTCTTTAAGCTATTGAGCTATTATATATATCTGCCATTTTATTTTTTTACAATTTCTCAAGTAAAGACTTACTTACTTACTTAACTTGTTACTTGTGGGTGTTCGCCTCCGCTGTCGTTAAGAAAGGGGGCTCGTCCGGATTTATTTCTTCATCTTTAGTCATCAATAGCCTCAAAGAAATCTTTTATTTTGTAGTAGGGTCTTGTTGAGAAGAAGTATTTAAGTTTATTTTTAAAGCCGTTTATAGTTTGAATATTTTTTAGTTGATCTGGAAGGTGGTTGAAACATTTTAGTCCTATGTAGTTTGGATGGTTTTGAGATTTTTTAAGTCTATTTTATGATAATTCAAATTGTCGTTTTCTTCTTGTGTTGTGGTATGCATGACTTCTCTTCTATTGTTGTTTGATGGTAGGGAATGTATGATGGTTTCGTAGATATATATGGATATGACTGTTAAAATTTTATTGTTAATAAAGTATGGTTTACAGTGTTCTTCATCTTGCAGATCATTAATTTATCTTATAGACTTCTTCTGGACAGTTAGTAATTGGTCTAGGTAGATTTGCGGTGCCGCTCCCCAGGCTATAATACCAAATCTTATGTGAGAAGAAAGTAGAGCCTGGTAAACCACAAGTACGGTATTTTTCCCAGATATTCTTTATATTCTCTTAAGTCCATAAAATGCTAAGGATAATTTAATTGTTAAGTTTTCTACATGGGGTTTCCAGCTGAGGTTTTCATCAATTATTAGTCCTAGGAATTTGGTTTCTGATACTATTTCAATATTAGTGTTAGACTTTTGGTTTGTTGTGTTTCTTGATGTTAAGTTTACTATTGCGCTTTTTGTCTGGTTTATAGTGAGATTGAGAAAGAGAATGAAAGTAATACGAACAAATTATCCTACTAATATTATAAATCTGAAAGTTTGTGAGTTTGTGTGTGTTTTGCTCAATCACGCATAAACTACTGGACGGATTTAGAGCGGAGGCTGGCGTTTACCCCCCTTCCCCCCACGGTGGGAATTTTCAACATATACATTTTTTGGTTTGTATTGACATGTACTTTAAAGTTTTAGGTGTTTGCTACTTGTGAATTACAGCATGTTCTGGAAAACACGAAAATATCATGAATATATATATTTAAAAAAATGGTTTTTCTTTAGCGAGTTCGTTTGGCTCTACAACCCGACCGATTTTCATGATTGAGGTCTCAAATTGAAGGTATTAACGCACAGATTTCACATCAAGCATCAGTATATATTTATCGACAGTCCCACTCGGCTTATACGTAAATTAAATTTACCCCCCATATATTTCTAAAGGGAGTTAGATTTGTTTTTTTTTCTTTTCCGAGTTTCTTTGGCTCTTCTACACGTCCGATCTTCATGATTGAGGTCTTAAATTGGTAGTATGCGGACATATATTTCACATCAAGCATCATCGTATATTTATCTACTTTATTACTCGACCAAAAAACATAGGTTTGATATATTTTTTAATTCATATTTCAATTTAAATTGTACAGTATTTTACCATTTGTAATTATATAACCCTATATATTTTGGTCTATGAACCTTCAGTGAAATACCGGCTTGCATTTAAGATATTAGTTATTCAAATCGGACGGTTTTCAAGCAAACGCAAGGTAAACATCCAACATAAAAAAAATATAAGGTTTTTCTATGATTGAATATCAATAGCTCCAGTATTGTTTACGTTTTTTTATATGTTTTAGACTCAAAATAATCAGTCAATTATAGGCTTTAATTTGAGCTATTGATCGTTTGAATCAGTTAAGTTTAAGATACTGTATTACACAATCAAAATATAATAAATTTGATTATTCCTCGGATATGATATTTTTTTTACGCCGCAGTGCAGCATGGGTCCTTTAGTATAGATTTTTTTAGTTTGATTTGATTTGATTAGTTGATTCCTGTGCGTAGGACGGGCCCACAGCAAGTTAGAATTTTAAAATGCAAGTATGGTGAAGTCATCAGCTTATTCTCAGTGACATGCAAGCAAATGAAATGAAACGATGTGAGCAAAATATTTTGCAAGTACTGTACTTGATGTTTTTGAACAATGCATTATTCTGCTTGAAGTTGAAAACCGTGATCAGAATTCCTAGATGGTCTCTTTATCAGCTGGAAGACCTGTACCCGAATCGATGGAAGACAATTTACTCAATGTAGATAATCTAGGGAAAGCTGCATGCAAACAGATTAGTTGAGATAAGAGCAATAAGAAATATTTTTCTGGAGTTTTACTGCTGTCCCAAGAACGTGATATTAACCTTGAGAAGCTGATGACGTACCCATTATATCCAGTACCATGGGCATCAGCCACTGTCGATGGATGCCCAACCAAAACAGAAAAGGCCAAACTGCTCCATGCTTTGGAGAACAAGGGTATAGACGTACCTCTCAAGATTGAAGGATGTATGTATGTAATTGACGTCATGGCTTACTTTTAGGTTCTTACTAATATTCCAGAAACCTCTGGTGAACTAGCACAGAAGGCCTTCAGCCGTTTTCCGAAACTCAGCAGGATATACTTTATTGCGGATACCTATTTAGATGTAACTATTAAAAACATTGAAAGAGAGAAGAGGATTTGGAGAAACGTTCTTAATGAGATGTCCAAAATCAAGATCCCACGGGATTGGAAAAAAATCCTAGCTAATGGTAAAAATAAGGAACACCGGGTTAACATGCTAAATAATGAATGGTCTCAGCACAAATATTCATAAATTCAAACAAGCTTCAATACACGTTTCTAAGGTAATGTAAGGTTGTTTTTGGTGATATTTTGAAATTCACCCCCCACCCACAAACAGGGTTGAAATTTTTTAAATGGAAACCCATATCAATCGGCACATTATTTTAAAGAGATTTAAAAAAAATAAAATTATTGCCGCAAATCCGATTTTGATACGAGGAAAAAGAAATTTTAGACGTTAATTTTACTGGAACCTTACATTCCAGTAAAATTTACGTCTAAAATGTCTCAATAAAATTTATTTAATTTAATTAGAATCTCTTAAAATCGCTTTCCTAGAGGTACTCTTTAAATCTAATGTTATTTAAATAGATTTGATTGAAAATCAATTCAGGCCAATTTGAAATCCGCATTGCTTGCAGGTTTGCTGCAGCGGGGGTATTTTTTTAACTTTTTTATTTTCATTTGAAGTCTTTGAATACATACTGAAGAAGTCCATAAAGAATATTGCACCAGTATTAACGCAGGCTACCCTTTTGTAATTTAAATAAAACAGTTTTTTTTTTATTTAATAGTTTTTTCCTACAGTTACCTAACAATGTACATGTTTTCTCACTGATTTAAGAAAGCAAAGTGGCCAATTCGCTCATCAGTGAGACAATGTTAACATTGTCTCACTCTAATTACTTTGTCTCACTCCAGATTTGCAACGTGAAGGCACGAAATAGTGAGCGCGTAACATGCAGGCAACGTCGTATGCGCGCGAAGTACGTTGGCAGCACTGGCTGTAAAGGCTGTAAATCAGCTGGTCAGCTATTGTACTGTTGTATTTGTCACTTCACAATAAAACTTATATTAAAAGTTCACTTCTGTGTAAAAATAGGTTATGTTTCTTCACAAATTTATTTGTTTTATGATAACTGTAGGAAAAGTATAATGTGCAACTCGAGTTCAAAGTACAATTGCCTCACTCGAGAAACCATTCCTCACTCGCCTACGGCTCGTGAGTAAGGATTTCTCTCGAGTGAGCCAATTGCTCACTTTTCTCACTAGTTGCACAAATAACTATTCTTTATTTTTTGGAATACGCTGTAATTTAAAAGAGGCAAACAACTGAATTCTTAATCTGGTAGGTAATACCAACAAAAAAAAGTATAAGTCATAAATTCCCACGGGGGGGGAGGGTTTCATATTGGTGGCTCATGGTCTAATTGGGCTGAAATTTGGCATGATAATAGCTCACATTCCAGAATAACATTAAAGCATATTCTTATCTCAAAAATCCTTTCGGGTTCCGCCCCAGTGGCTCTGTAGTTCCCCATGTTAACCTTATGATTTTTCATATTTAAAAGGAATTAATGAATCATAACAGCTGTTTCAATTAAACGAGTTGGTTCTGTTCTATGATGTTCAATAGCATTAAAGTTACAAGGATTACCAACAGGGTGCAGTACTATTATTTTTTTTTTATTTATGACAACAGCTAATTTCCAACCAAAAGATGAGTGAGCGTAGCGAACGAACTTCAACCTGAAGGTGAGTTAGCGTAGCGAACGAGCTAACCTGAAGGCAAGTGAGCGCAGCGAACGAGCTCCAACCTAAAGGTGAGTGAGCGTAGCGAACGAACTTCAACCAGGACGTGAATGAGCCATGCGAATACTTATGAAGTTAAACGGGGCAGAGCCCGCAGGTACAGCTAGTTGTGTTATAAACATAATTGCTGTTGGTTTGTAAACTTGTCATTATGCTTTAACACGTCCAAGAACATTGTACCTAAAGTGACACACCATTTAGGTAGACATTTATTTTTACGAGAAGACATACAAATTTTGCAACGGGAAATTCAAAACATAAACTATTAAATAGCAAACTGCATGCCTACCAGAAGATAAGATAGTTTCTGTATCGCTTTTAATTTATCTTCAATCGGCCCTATGTGGTCGGTGTCTTCTAGTGAGAGCCACGTCGAGGAGGTATTTACACTGTTTACAAACCAGACGTTTAGCCAATTCATAATGTTGCTTCCTC